CCTCTCTCATGAGCCCTTGATAATTTATAAATTATTATTTTGTCATATCTTGCCCTGTCTGACGTCTCCCTTCACCCACTTTTCTGTTGTCCATGCCCCAGGGAGGAGGTCACATATAGTTCTTTGATCTTCTTTCCATTGCAACTTTCACATCTGTCTTCAGGGCTGATCCATTCTCCATGGCCTGGCACTCAGGCATGTGCACAGACTGAATTTGCTGAGCCAGTTCAGGTCTTGTATGAGAATGCGTATTTGCCGCCCAGTCCCTCTGCCATTAGGACAGCGCTCTACTGCTCTTTTCATACCACCTCATGAACCACTTTGTCATCATGTATCTCAAATCACATTCTTTCGCACAGCTAGTTTTCTTGTTGCACCATTGTACAACTCTTCTAATGCACACTATTTGCTCCTCTCTTGTCTCTGCATCCATCCACTGCCCCCAAAGAGCGTATCAAAGATGTCCATCAGGGAAGCTCCACCCACTCTGATGGTCTCCTCACCTCCTTTGTCATATAATTCTCTTTCCTTTGCATCATAGAGCACTTCATAAGCTTGAGAAATCTGTTTAAGTTTCTCATCTTCGACAAGCTGGTGGGGAGCAGCCTGGCCAAGGCCTCTACTAGGGTAAAGGGACCAGTAGGGTAGAGCCCGGCCGCTGCTCCGGGACTGAGCCCTCTTCTAGAGAGAAGAAGAAGGTGTCCAAGGTCGCAGCACGCCCGGTGCCTCCCAGTGCTGCCCCCACCCCTGGGCTCAGCAAACGGGTGAAAAAGAGCAAACAGCCAATGCACGTGACCAAGGACATGAGCCACTGGAAGCCCGCGGACGACCTCCTGCTTGTCCGCACAGTGCTGCAGTGACCTGGCATCTGTCCACCTGGGTGTGAAGTTCAGCTGCCGCTTTACCCCCCGGGAAGTCCAGGGGCGCTGGTACGCCCTGCTCTGCGATCCCGTCGTCTCCAAGCTGGCTTGCCAGGCCATGAGGTAGTTGCACCCAGAAGCCATGGCAGCCATCCAGGGCAAGGCTGTGCTTAGCAAGGCGGAGAGCAGCTGCTGAGCAAAGTGGGCTCGAGCAGCCAGCCCGCCTTGGAGACCTTCTGGGAGCTGCTGCACAGACACCCCGATGCCTTCCACCTGGTGCGCACTGCGCGGGCGCCGCAGGCCCTCCAGCAGCCCAGAAAGCAGCATCTCTCGCTGGAGGACCAGACAGTGCAGCCGCTGCCCAAGGGGGCCGAGGACGGAGCTTGTCGGATGCCCAGGACCTGATCGACGACAGTAAACTCAAGGACATGCGAGATGAGGTCCTGGAACCTGAGCTGATGGTGCCAGAAGCCAGCGATCCGGCAGCTGGAGCAGGAGCCGCCCAAGTGGCAGGCGCTCTGACAAGTGACAGGGTCGCCTGCTGAGCTCCCCAGACGTGGCCGTGCTGAGGGTCGCAGGGTGCGCGAACTGAGGCGCTCCCGAGAGAGCACCCTCGGCAGAGCGACCCAGGATAACCAGATTGACGTGGACTTGTCTCTGGAGGACCCGCCTGGAAGAGATCCCGGAAGCAAGGTGTCATCAAGTTGAAGGACAACGGTGATGTCTTCAAGGCCAGCGAGCGCCGGCGGCCTGTGCTTGGTGACTCCAACTGGCGCCTCAGCGACAACTCCGTGGGGAGATCGCCAGCCTGAGGTCCGTCTTCCGCAGCCACCAGGACCTCACTGCCCTCCTCCGGGCAGGGGCGGCCAAGACCACACCCCAGAGGGACAGCAGCGGACCCCACGGCTGGCTGTGGATCGGAGCCCTGGGGTGCGTGGGGCTGGTGAGGCTGGAGCCTGCCCGCCCCTGATTCGCTTCAGACTCATTGTTACTGTCTCTCTCTCTCTCTTTGAAAATAAAAAAGCACTGGGTTTCAAAAAAACAAAAACAAAAGTTTCTCATGTTCATTTGACTACGTATCAGGATGGTCCTTCAAGGCCAATTTCCTGTAAGCTTTTCTCAGCCCTAAATGGCACTGGGTTTGGCCCCGGAAATATAGCAAGTGATTTCGTTCATCATTTTCTTTCTTAATGAAGCAGTGTCTTCTTATCTCCTATATCACCATCAAGAGTGGAGTGTCCTTGGGGCAACCCCTCCTTGATCCCCAGGGAATGGCTCAGTACCACCTGTAATTGCCCAATCTCGGCTCTAGGGGTCATATGTGCATCCATCCCCAGGATATACGTTTCTGTGTGGGTTTGACCACCCCCTCCAAATATACTTTTGCCTATACATTTTTAGATTTACTTCAATGACTGGCAGTTGTGTCCTTGGTTCTCTCACCTCCCTATACTGATAACTAACTCTCTTGTCCGTTATTTATGATTACAGGCTTTATTGGTTATTTGTCTATTCAGGCCAAGTCTTTTAAATTTGTTTACAACATTTGTATCTTCCAGACTCCACCAGATTCAAATGCAAATTTTGGTAGCCCAGGAATTCAAAAGAATCCCAACACATTAAAAAACCCACAACAACAACCCTGTCCTTGTTTGAGACCGCTGACTTGGAACGCTGCACATCAACCACTCTCTACTGTGCCCCATGACACAGACCCTTTGGGGGGCCCCTGACTGCTGTGCCCTTACACCACATTCCTGTACAACTGGGAGTAGCCAGATAGGTCGTCGTCAGTCATCCCAACCTCCCTAACAGCTTCCACTGCAAAGGAGGGATTGAAAACTAGGAGACAGAGAGAACACAGGCAGAGAAGGAAAAGAGGCCCCATGGGAAACACTGGGAGAACAGGATGCCAGTAAGAGTAATCTCAACTGCTTAAGATAATTTTAAATCTTAAACTAGCAGGCAACTGGCCCCTAGGCTAATTTTAAACTCCAAAGTCAGAACACTCATAACTCTATTTGCTGACCCCTTGCCTGCTTACTTCCTTTTCTCTCCCCAAGCAAGAACACAGTGGTGACAGAGGGTGAGCAGGTCTATGATTGGACCTGCGGCACGTGACCAGACCTGGGACTGGTCCATTGGTAACCTGGGGATAGAAAAAGGGCCATGTATCCTACAACTTGTTTAAAACAAAACAAACAAACAAACCCTAGACAGAGCTCTTCAGTGGCAACTCCCTCAAGACCCCACCTAATGCACTGGGTGCCTTTCTTTCTTTTCTAAATGAGCTTTGCTTTCAGCTTGCGATGTGTGGCCCAGCAGTCCATTCTTCAGTTCGTGAGACCAAGCACCCTGGGACACTGCAAGTAGGTGCAACAATACCGATCATCCAAATCAGCTGAACTGCAAATGGCAAGGTTAAACTCATTGATCTTTATATAGACCTCTTTTCTCCTCTGCCATTATGAGTTCTCAATAACACAAACCTAGCACTCATTTGCTCTATCTCAAAGTGCCCCTGTAACAATCTCAAAGTGAGCATTTCAACACTACTATTAACAGTAGGAGAGTCCTGGTGTCGCTTTAAGATATGCACTGGACTGCTAACCACGGGCGGCTTAAACATAAAGGAAACAAGCTGCCCCAAGAGAGAACGATGAGACGATCTGTTTCTATAAACATTGATGATGCCTCACACCTTATAAAGGGGGGCTGAGCGTCAGGATCCATTTGAAGTTAGGGGTCGTGGGGTTTCATCAACAATATGAGGTCCCTAGGAAGCACAAATGGTTTGCTCTGAGTTGCTAAACATATGGTTCTCATTCAGACACCTAATCATACTGTGGGAGAAAGTGTGGACGCTCTGCTTTGGGAAAGATAACAGCCAAGAAAGCTTTATGGAGCAATTATATTTTACTAGTGCTGGGAGTCAAAAATGACCTGATAGCAATGCATCTTTTCCCACAACAATACATGTGAAGCAATTTATTTAACTGAAGTACGAGTGCCTCTAAGAAGGATGGCATCTGAAAGCTGACATTATGGACATTTTTTCTTAGAGATTAATTATTTGGATAAAACATATTTGCTGTTTGAAGCTATTGAGTCAGTTCTGACCCGTAGCAATCCTATGCGCAACAGAATTAAACACTGTCCAGTTCTGAGCTATCTTCACACTTTTTCCTATGCTGGAGCCCATTGTACTAGCCACTGTGCCACTCGTGTCCCTCCTTGTGAGCTTCGTCTGTCTTGGTACTCCTTGACTTTAGCAGGGACTTGTCTCCCTTGGAAACATCTCCAAAGAACATAAGACGAAGTCTTGCCATCATTTGGGGCAGTAGATGGAAATTTCAATATTCTTTCATGCACTGCATTTCAAATGCACCAATTCCCCTTCAGTCTTCCTTATTCAGATTTCAAATTTCACATGCTATGAGGCAGTTGAAAATATCATGGCTTGGGTCAGGTGCCCCTGAGTCCTCAAAGTGATGTCCTTGCTTTTCTCTACTCTAAAGAGGTCTTGAGCCACAGTTTTACCCAATGTGAGGCATATTTTGATCTCCTGTTTGCTGCTTCCATGAGCATGGATTTTGGAGCCAAGCAAGACAAAATTCTTGACAACTTCAAACTTTTCTCCACTTAACATGATGTTACCTAGTGGGCCAGTTGTGAGATTTTGGTCTATTTTTCATTGAGTTGTCATCCATACTGCAGGCTGAAATTCTTGTTCTTCATCAGCGAGGGCTTCAAGCCCTCCTCACTTCAGCAAGCAAGGCTGTGTCCTCTGCATATCGCAGGTTGTTACTACCCTTCCTCCAATCCTGATGCCACATTCTTCTTCATATCATCAAGATGCTCTGATGACTTCTTCAGCACACGGATTGGATAAGGATGGTGAGAGGGTACAGCCCTGACATAAACCTTTCCTGATTTTAAACTATGCAGTATTCCCTGGTTCTGTTCACACAGTGCCTCTTGAGCCATGAACAAGTTCCCCATGAGCACAATAAAATGTTCAGGAATCCGCATTCTTCTCAAGTCTGTCTATAGTTTATTATGATCCACACAGTCAAATGCCCTGTCACAGTAAATGAAACACAAGTAAACATCTTTCCAGTATTCTCTGCTTTCAGCCCAAATTCATCTGACTTAGCAATAATAACCCTTTTCTATTTTGTCTTCTGAGTCTACCCTTGACTTCTGGCAGCTCCTTGTAAAAATACTGCTGCAACTATTGTTGAATGATCCTCAGTAAAAATTTACTTCCATGTAATATCAGTGATACTGTTCTATGATTTGAGCATTCTGTTAGCTCACCTTTCTTTGGAATGAGTACAATATGGATCTCATCCAATCAGTTGGCCAAGTAGCTGGCATAGCCCAATATGTGATTTCCGTGCTTCATCAGCGTGTTGAGAGATTTCAATTGGTGTTCCGTCAATTCCTGGAGTCTTTTTTTGTTTTTGCTGAATGCTTTCAATTCAGCCTGAACTTCTTCCTTTGGCATCATTAGTTCTTGCTTATATGCTACCTTCTGACATGGTTGAATGTTGACTAGTTCTTTTGGGCATAGTGACTCTGTGTATTCCTTCCATCTTCGTTTGATGTTTGCTGCATCATTGCTCAATATTTTTCTCATAGAATCTTTCAACATTGAAACTCTAGGCTTAATTTTTTTTCTTGAGTTCTTTCAGTTTCAGATATGCCGAGCATGCTTTTCCTTTTTAATTTTCTTACTCTAATTTTGCACATTTCATTATAATACTTTACTTTGTCTTCTTTAACTGCCCTGTAAAATTTCTATTCAGCTCTTCATGAAGGTGAGTGTCAAGCAGGACCATGTTATAAGAACTAACGTTCGGTGCCCCAAAAGACTGGACTGGAAAACACTCCTAAAGACCAATGATGCTTGAACTAACTACAAGCTTTTCTTTCTTGTGTTTTAATTTGTTCTTTGTCAGTGATTTGTTGTTGTTGCTGTTTTGTTGTACATTGTTGCTTGGTTTTGCTCTGTCTTGTTTTGTGCATGTTGTGCATGTTGGTGTCTCCACAGGTCTGTCTGGATAGGATAGACTGATGAACAATCTGGAAGAGAAAACAATGGGACCAACAGTTCTGGGGGGACATGGGAGAGGGGGAGGTGGGGGGAAGGGAAGAGGTGTTAA